CGTTTAGCCTCCAAGTATTCTTCACGTTTCTGCAGCACTGTGGGAGGATAATCATGATCAAAATATATCGGTTTCCCGTGTAGAAGTACACCTTTCTTCCCCCACGCTTACCGTAAAATCTCTTCCTTGGTTCTGCTGCGGAGAAGATTAACAACAATGGATCTTGGCCTGTTGTTTCTGTCCCCAGCCGGTGGCGGAGCCAGCACTCGGTGGGCTCTCTCAATGTCCAATTCCATACTTGGTTCGAGCTCTAGGGTGTCCTTGAGTAATTTTTCCACAAAATCTCTCACCGATGATCCTTCTGCTCCCTCTGGCACGTTGTATATCCGAATGTTTTCTCTTCGTGATCTCCCTTCCTGGTCGAGCAGTTTTTCTTGTTGCTGGGTAATTAGTTCGGCCATCTTGCTCAATATCRGCTCCATGTTCACTGCCCGCTCCTCCATCGAATCAACTCGGTCCTCCGTCTCCTTAATTTTCCGGTGTACGTTGATGAGTTCTGACTTAATGTCATCGAACTGTTGTTTCATATCTTTTCGAAAGTCCCGTAACTCACCCAGAATTTGCGTTAGTTCTGTCGCGTCAGCGGGAAGCTGATTAGCATTAGCTTCGTCGAGGTGCTGGTGAGTTGGTGAGCTAGTTGCCGTCTTTCTTTCTTGTGCTAAGTCTTCATTCGTGGTTTTCCTATTTCCGTCCTTTTCCCCATTCTAGACCCCCTTACCGACTCAATTTTACTCATTTTTCGTTATATTTGGCAAATAATGGGGGTCGAATTAAGATTTACCGGAGGAGTAGTCGGCTCAAGCAGCCATCTTGGAAGGTGACGTCACCGGTCTCCCCATCTATTTTCCTTGCATGTTTATTATTTTTGACATAACCAGTAACAAATGCAGAAAGGGATGATGGGAATCTATTGAAGGACCCTGATCAGGTCCAGCCCAATCCTTCCCCTTTGGACATCAACATTGAGGACCRGGACCTCAACACGCTCCCCAGGCCCCAAAGCCAAGCTGCGACGCCGCTGGCTGGCAGGTAGTTTGTCCAGAGTGATCTTGTTCTTATGGATGAGGCCTGNTGTCCGAAATCTGGTAAAGGGAGAGATTGAAGTAGGACCTAACCTGCAGATATCTAAAGAAGTCGTTCTTCTCCAGCCCTTTGGACCTCTGAAGTTCCTCAAAACTCTGAAACACACCCTTCCGGGTAAATGTATAGTAAGTGGTTAATCCTTTTTGGATCCGTCCTCTAGATTTTCCATCAGCCCTTTTTGGTTTAAAAGCTGAGTCAAAGGCACACCATCTGAGTATTCTTATCTGGTTATCCAATTTACACATTTTAACGACCTTATTCCAAGAATCCAGCATGATGTGTATATTATTGACCCATGTGGTAAACTCAGCCCCTCTTGTAAGTCCTTGTCTGTTAGTACTGATATTAAAGGTATTCCTTCCACTGTTGCTTTTTCCAAATCTTTCCATTTAGCACTGTAAGATGGAGAGCAAAGACAAAACACTGGTCTTAATTGAGTTGCAAGGTAGTAGACCTGTAGATTAGGAAGCCTTAGTCCACCTTTCTCTTTCTTTAACTGCAGCGTGCTATATCTCACTCGTGCCTTTTTCCCCTGCCAGATATATTGCGATATTATTCTTTCCCACTCTACGAAGCGCCCATCTGGGATCAAAATAGGTAGACACTGAAACAGATATAGGAAGCGTGGGAGAATGTTCATTCTAACCGACTCAACTCTTGAGTATAAATTTGAAAAAGGAATCAGACTCCATCTTTTCATGTCTGATCTCAGATTTGAAATTAGGAGCCCATAGTTGACTTCAGAAATCCTGGAAAGATCCTTGGGCAATGTGACCCCTAAATATTTTATGGATTCTGCATCCCATTTCCAATTGAAGAGACTCCTCATATTGTTTTGTGGGTTATAATTTATTGTTAAAACCTGAGTCTTGGTAATGTTTATCTTGTAACCCGAAAGCGAACCATATTCCTCGATCGCTCCCATGAGTGTAGGTAGGGTTTCAGCTGGATTTGTTATGGTCAACAGTAAATCATCTGCGAACAATGACAACTTTTGTTCTCCGGAAGGCATATGAACTCCAGCTATATCCGTCCTCTGTCTTATCCACTGACTTAAAGGCTCAATGAAGAGGAGTGGTGAAACACAGCATCCCTGCCTCGTACCCCTTTCCAGAGTGAAGCGGTCAGATAGGTCTCCATTAATTTTTATCCTAGCGGATGGTCTATCATATAAAGATGCGATTACGTCTATTATGGTCTGGTGGAATCCAAACCTGGACATAACTTTGTAAAGACCATCTGACTGAATCAAAAGCCTTCTCTGCATCTAGACTCAGTACAAGAGTCTCTATTTTTTGTTGGGTTACATGATTTAAAATATGCAGGGTTTTCCTGATGTTATCCTGTCTGTCTCTGCCTGATAAAGCCTGTTTGGTCCTTATGTATTATCAATGGCAGGATGTTTTCCAATCTCTGTGCGATTATGGCAGTATATAATTTGTAATCAATATTTAGCACACTTATTGGGCGATAATTTCCGCATTCCTTCTTGTCTTTTCCCTCCTTAGGGATTAGTGAAATGGTGGCATCTCTCCACGAAGGAGGGATTATTTTCTTTTCTAGTACATTGTTGAAAACTCTTACTAGAACAGGGATTAATTGATCTTGCATTTCTCTGTACCACTCAGAGGTAAACCCATCTGTTCCTGGAGATTTCCCTCCTTTCAACTTTCTAATCACTGATTTTAATTCTGCTTCAGTTATCTCTGATATTAATTGTTCGTTTTGCCCGTCTGTAATGTTGGGCAGGGAGAGTTGGGAAAGAAATGTGTCCATTTGCTGTTCATCATTTAATTTGGGTTGAGAGTATAGAGTTTGGAAAAAATCTCTAAAGCACTTCTGAATCTTTTCTAAGTTTGTTTCAACCCTATTTGTATACATATTCTTTATTTTGTGAATAGCTCTATCAGCTTGCTGTTTTCGTAATTTAAATGCCAGGAGCTTCAGAGATTTACCCCCTGCTTCATAATATTTCTGTTTAGCAAAGAGAAGTTTATTTTGTATTTCTTGTATGTTTAAGTTGTTCAGTTCTTTTTTTCACCAACTCAATTTTAGCTCTTATTGCCCTCTTTAAGGTTTTCGAATGCTCTTTCTGGAGTTTCTTCAGCTCTGTTTCCAATTGAGTTTGTTTTTGTTGTCTAATACTCTTTTCGTTGGAGGAAAAGGCTATTATTCTTCCCCTGACTACAGCCTTTAGAGCATCCCAGAGTATTGCCGGACCCACTTCATCATTATCATTCTCTTCCAAGTATTGTATGATTTCAGTTTTCATATTCTCCTTAAAGATTGAACTGTTTAATAAGTTCATATTCAGCCTCCAGAGGGTGGATCTGCTTTTCTCAACCAAATGAAGGGAGATATAGATCGGGCTGTGGTCTGAGATTGAACTGGATCCTATTTCCCAATTTTTCAATCTATGCACATCTTTTTTAAACATGAAAAAATTGTCTATTCTTGAGTATACATTGTATGAAGAAGAATAATGTGTAGTCACGACTGGTTGGGTTCTTATCCCTCCATACATCCACTAATCCCACTTCATCCATCATATTTTTCATTCTTTTACTGATATTTTTAGAGTTTGTTTTTCCATTCGATGAGTCCAGATTTGGATTTAATCTAATATTAAAGTCCCCTGCACAGATCTTAACACCTTGACATTTTGTTACTGCTAATTCAAGAATTTTCTTGTAAAATGACCAGTCGCTACCAGGTGGGGCATAGACATTAATAAAACTTATTAGGACACCATCTATTTTTCCTGTAATTAAAATATAACGACCCTCCCTGTCTTTATGTTCTGCAACATGTTCGTAGCACAGGGAACTTGATATTAAAATTGCAACACCTCTTCGTTTACCGGAGCTTTGGGAAGAAAAATAAACAGATTTAAACCCCATCTTGTTCAGTTTGACATGTTCAGAATTATCTAGGTGGGATTCCTGTAACATTGCTATATGAACTTTATCCTTCCTGAGTTTAGATAATACTCTCCATCTCTTAATCGGATTATTTATGCCATTTATATTGAAAGAAGCCACCTTTAACTGTGTCTTCCCCATTTGTGTAAGTGTTTCCCCATGTCACTGATGACCCTGAAACTCCCCCACCACTCACTAGAACTGACATAAGCAAAATATAAACAAATAAACCAAAAGTAAACATATAAACAGGAACCATAACAAAACAGAACATGTTCAGCATCCAAGGCAGGGGTCTGTTGATTAGACCCTGTTGAGCTTCTTGGAAGAGGCCCAGAAGGGAAAAACCTCCCATAAAGTTAAGGAGGGCCCTTATAGGTGGCGGCAGCCCAAATGAGAGCAGACCCCAAACAAACCTTTATAAAATCCCATCATCTTTAAGACAGCCCTCTATACACTTATCTCTAAGAGGAAGATACCAGGAGGGGGAAAGAAGGACTCCTCAGGTCGCAGGTGGAGATGTTCTTCTGAAAGCCCGGAGTCTCTCTTTGTAGTTTTCTCCTCTTGCTGGACCGGAGGAGCCTTTCTGTTTCCTCCCCTCCTTCCTGCTCCAGGATAATCTTTCAATCTGCTCCTTCAGGGTAGCTGGGGATCTGATGACTTTAACTTTGTAGCCCTTTTTAGCCAGGTCCTCGGTGGTCTCCTCTATGGTGTCGTAGGTCCTAGTCCCCTCTTTGTTTCACTCGCAGCCTCGCCGGGAAGAGAGTCTGAAATGGAACGCCGTTCTCCTTCAGGACCCTCCGAACCTCCGTATACTCTCTGTGCTTTCTGAGGATGGCTGGTGGATAGTCATGATCCAGATTTATTCGTTTTTCATGCCAGATAAATCCTTTTCGCTGCCAGGCCTTACGGAACAGCTCTTTATATTTGAAGCTCTGAAATTTCACCACGATCGACCGTGGCGCAGCTCCCTCCGGTGGCTGCGGACGAAGCGCCCGATGTGCTCGTTCAATCTGCATGTCCGGCTGGATGTCTTCCAGACCGAGCCCCTCTTTAACTAGAGCTTCCACAAATGCAGCCATGGATTCACAGTCCTTTTCAGCTCCCTCTGGAACACCATAGATCCTGACATTCTCCCACCCCTATCACAGACACTTATTGAAAACATGTAAGACTGCAAAACAATGAACTGTCCCAATCGTCCCAACTGATTTCTGGGTAAAGTGAATGTGTTTAATTTACTTTTAGGAAGCATTTCAGTTTAGATCCAAAATTTATGTAATCAGAAAATAAACAGTTTCATCTATTTTCCTTGCATGTTTATTATTTTGACATACCCAGTAACATAAATGCAGAAAGGGATGATGTGAATCTATTGAAGGACCCTGATCAGGTCCAGCCCAATCCTTCCCCTTTGGACATCAACARTGAGGACCCGGACCTCAACACGCTCCCCAGGCCCCAAAGTCAAGCTGCGACGCCGCTGGCTGGCAGGTACAGTAGTTTGTCCAGAGTGATCTTGTTCTTATGGATGAGGCCTGAGCGTCCTACACCAACGTCTACAAAAGCTCCAAACAAAGCAGTGTTGTCCACCCGGCCTGTCAGCACTGCACCAACTTGTAGATCACTTATTGAAACAATGCCTCGCTTAAAATCCTCTTGTCCGAAATCTGGTAAAGGGAGAGATTGAATTAGGACCTAACTTGCAGATATCTAAAGAAGTCGTTCTTCTCCAGCCCTTTGGACCTCTGAAGTTCCTCAAAACTCTGAAACACACCCTTCCGGGTAAATGTTTTTGTCCATTTTGTTTGCATTCCTCCTCGGTGCATTTTTTATTTTTCGTCTAGGTTGGGGCTAAGGAATATATTC